ACACAGGGCCAGAGGCGAGGCGTTCAATCTGGGCACCTTCAGGACCATGGGCAGCTACGGGAAGGGAGGGAGACAGCCACCTCCAGGACACAGGACACACGTGAGGCGGCGGCCGGGAGCGCCCCCCGAGCCCCGCCCCTCGCGGGCCAGGCCCAGGCGACCAGGGCAACGTACCTTCTCATGGGTGGCCGAGTCTGAGGGCCCAGTGGCCACCTCCACCATGATGCTGTTCCCACTCTACGCAGAATGGAGCGTGTCAGAGGGGGACAAGGGGTGCGGGCGGCGGGGAGGGCGGGAAGCCTACCTTGGTCAGGAAGGGCGTGATGAACACGAAGAAGACGTCGTAGATGAAGAGCACCAGCAGCAGCAGCGTGCAGGCCTGGGGGACGGTGGGAGCTGAGGCCCTGCCCCCAGGACGCAGCCCCGCCCCCGGGACACACCCAGCCCTGCCCAAGCCTGAGAGCCCTGGAGGGCAGCCCCCTCAGGTCCCCTCCCACTGTGGGAGTTTTCTGTCCTCTCAGTAAATTCTGCTTTCTCAAAAAAACAAACCAAAGAGAACTCAAAGACAACCCTAGCCCTCTCCCCAGGACACAGCCCCGCCCAAGACTCAGCCCTGGCCCTGTCTGGGGACACAGCCTCCCCCAAACCCTGCCCCAGCTCTAGACAGGTCCACTGCCTCGTCGCCCCTTTTGGAAGAAGCCTTTACGAGAAAGTCTGAGCAAATCGAGTTTGGCCTCCTGGGGTAACAAGAAAAGCTGTGTTGGAAGCAACCTCGGCTCAGAGTACAAAGGGAAAAGGCCACAGCTTCCAGTAACTGAGGAGCGAGCGGAGCGTTGAGACCCAGGCCGGGAAGCGTCTAGCCTAGGGTGGGCGGCAGCCACTCCTCCCCGCCCCGTGGCTTCCTGCGAGGCCAGCTGGGGCTCTGACCACCCGCATGCTGCCAGGCCCAGCCCCGACTCACATGCTTCATCCTGCCGAGGTCAAACTGTACTTCCTGCCACATGCCCCATGGGAAACTAACGCCAACCCCGCGAGGCGCCGTGGCGGGGACAGTCGCCCAGCAGGGACCCACCTGGGCCACCTGGGGGAACCCAAACCATGAGTCCCGCCCCCAAGCCTGGTCCAGTCAGGTCCCTGGGGAAGCAAGCGGGGACAAGGCCATCCCACCCTCACCTTGAACGTGGGGAGGCGGATGGTCTTGAGCATGTAGAGGCAGAAGGCGATGCCCAGGGCGTCCTGGAGGATCCAGGCCCACCTGCAGGGGGTGTGTCATCATGGGGCGGGGTGGGCGCCGTGTGTGTCCACCCTCCCAGGCCACCAGTCCCTCCCTCCTCAGCCGCCATCCCCACCCCACACGCCAAGGACCAGGCCCACGGGAGGAGCCCTGTCACTGAGCGGCTGCCTGGGCAGCACGGGGGCGAGTACACCCCAAGGACCCTGCCATCAAAGTTGCTGACCCAGACGGCGGGCTTCGCACCAAAGTAGGCTGAGGTGGGGGGCGGCGTGTGCTGTGTATTGGCAACCTGCACGCACCAGGATTTCTCTCAGAGCTTCTGCACCCATGGCAGGGCCGCCCTGCACCCACTGCCCAGGGAGAAACAAAAAATGCTTCCGAGACCCAGCGCACGGGGTCACAGCTGTAATCCCAGCACTTCGGGAGGTGGTGGCGAGAGGATAGCCTGAGCCCAGGGGTTTGAGACCAGCCTGGGGAGCTTGGCGAGACCTCGTCTCCACAATGAATCAAAAAACCAGCAGGGCATGGCGGTGGCACCTGCAGTCCCAGCTACCTGGCAGACTGAGGCAGAAGGGTCGCTTGAGCCCAGCAGTTCGAGGCTGAGGTGGCCCAGAGTGTGCCAATGCCCTCCAGCCTGGGCAATGGAGGGAGACTCCGACTCAAACAAAAAAGAAAACGCTTCCGGCTCCAGGCCCGTCCTGCAGCAGCCAGCCCTCAACCTTCCTCGCCCGGCGCGGCCTCAACCCTGGACATGGGCTCTGCCTGCCACCTGCAGACGCGTCACCTCAGATGTCCCTCGGTGTCTCAAAGCATCAAGTGCCGCCTTTGAAAGGCGATAAGAATATCCCCCTGGCAGCGCAGCTCGAGGAACGAGAAGCTTCCAAGGAGACTCGCGGCCGCCTCGCATGCGGCACGCGCCGGTCTAATTTTATGCGCAGCGCGTTTCCTGGCTTGGATGGAGCTGAAGGAGCTCATTTTCTCTTTGTGTACAAAGGACTCAAAATATTTTCACGTTTTCCTTCTGCCAGTTAAATCTGCTGCAGCTCTGATCGCGCTGAAGCCAAGAGGACTTGGCTGCCTGGGAAGGCGCAGCGCGCGCCAGATGGTGTCAGCGACAGCCGGGCGGGGACGGGCTGGCCACGGGCCTCAGCATCAGCGCGCTGCCTTGGGGGAGGCCAGGAAGATGCACACAGGTCGATGCCGTGTGGGCAGGGGCATGGGGCAGCCGGCGCCGGCCCCCACGTCCCGTCCCTGCCGAGGCCATGTGAGCGTGACCAAAGGATCAGGTGTCGGCAGAGCCCTGGCGCTGGGCCTCAGGGCCCACAGCACACACGCGGGGCCAGGACGGGGTCAGCAGGGCCGGGAGGTGGCTCCAGGCAGCGTCTCTCTGCCCCCGAGCCTTACCTACGCATCAAGGCCCGCTGGGGGAGGGGGCTTGCGGCATCTCCTGCCCAGATTCCAATCAAGGCTCGCATGGCACCGGGGCCGCCCAACAAACCCCAGGAAACCGGACGCGGCGGCAGGCGGGGGCGGGGGTTCAGGGCGCAGGGATGGGAGCTGCAGCGGCTCCAGGGCCGGGGCAGCCGGAGCACCTGAGGACAGCGGCAGGAGCCAGCACGGCAGGCCTGGGGCCCATGTGGCGGCCGCGGGGGCAGCACTTACTGGTCCTCGTTGCGGAAGACGCCCCACACCACGCTGACGGCCACGCAGAAGAGCGCCAGGAGCAGCATGCGAGCCTGGGGGCGCTTGTGGAAGTAGGGCAGGCTGTTGTCTGGGACCCTGCGGCGGGTGGGAGGCAGTCGGCACCCTGGGCCTCCCAC